CTAGTTTTTTACTGCAAGGTCTAATACTTATCTTTCCTATCATTAATCATTTCCTATTATTTATCATTTAATCATCTCTTATCTGTATGTAGAGAGACTCCTTGCAAATCAAATCATGCCACAATTTTGTAACACTTATCCTCTGTTGCCTCAATTTCATGTCTAGTCTATCTGAAATCTGATGGTTTGATACATCGGTGGTCACTGGACAGCTGCCTGAATGTGTGTGTATGTGTAGGTGTGTGTGTGTGTGTGTGTGTGTGTGTGTGTGTGTGTGTGTGTGTGTGTGTGTGTGTGTGTGTGTGTGTGTGTGTGTGATGACTGATTGGTGGCTGGGTTGGCTAGTGGGATAAGGGGATAAGCAGTTGAATGTTGATCCCTCTACACTCTGGGTCACTAGGCCTCACATGCTTCCTGGTCTCTGCTCGTGCAGCCTTTGATTCAATTTCTGTCCGTCTCAGTTGTTTGTTTTCTCTCTCTTGCTTTTATTACACCACAGGCATGACTTGCAAGACTAGCGAGATGCTGTATATCTTGCCTTGTTTGTTGTCTCTCCTCCTCACTCTTCTCTTCATTCTGTCTCTGTCTGCCCCTGTCAGTACTGTCTTTACATGCTACCGAAGGTCTTAGTCTTTTGACCTGGTTTACAGGTTTGTGTCAGAGTTCATTGGCTGTCTGCCACCAGCCAGTATAATCTTTGGATGTCTTGACTGACACAGTTCAGAGATCTAATCTCTAGTGTAGGATAACGTAGTGTAACTGTCAGTCTAATGTAGGTATCTATGCTATGATAACCATAAGAATAAAGCTTTTTCTGTTTTCAAACTATTTATGTTTTTGTTTATTCTTCATCTTAAGAATGGGGAGAAGCCTTTCTCCTGAGACTCCTCTTCCATCACTGTTTGGGTGTTGTCTCTCTGTTGGACTGCCTCTCTGGTCATTCAGGTCATAGTCTGCTCTTTCCTTAGAGCTCTGCCAATTAAGTTGTGTATAAGTTTCAAACAATGGTGACCTTTTGCCTTCCCTCCACATCAGCCTCTGTTAGTCTTTGGCCAATGACTTTATCTCGTTACAATGACAGGAATGATTCACTGCTGTCTGATCACAGCCTTTTCCCATGCTCCTTTTTACGCTGTCAACACGCCTCTCAGTGCTGTTTATCAGAAATAGTATATTTTCCCACCATCTGGGAAGAAAGCACAACTTTGATATTTAATTTTCAGTTATAAATGATCAATTTCAACAATTTCCACTAAACTTTGGTTTAATTATATTGAACAACAGCCTCTGATGATGTAAGGCATCCATATTTGTTGGGTTTTCAACCACTTCCCTGTTATTAACTGCCAAATATAGGAGCTTTCAGTCTGCGTTTTCCCCTTGTTATTACAACTTTAACTGAAACTCTTAATTAAGACAACTTTGATATGATATGTACACGGCATTTGGGTGCTTCATTTAGATAGGCCTCACATCTAAAAAGAGAAAGAAAAGAACATTTTTAAATGCAGATTAAATCTTTGGTGCTACCATTTCCATGGAAAACAATTTAGTTTAACCATTAATTTATTTTACTTATTTGGACGGTTTAATTTGCATCAACTAATTTTTCTTTCGCAAAACATAGCAACATTTGATTTTTGAGGGACATAAAATTCAGGTGTAATTTTAGTTTGAACTGATTTGCTCCCTTTAAAAACATCTGGATAAAAGGGATAGAAATGGAAAAAAGCATAAAAGATACAGAACCTGTACTGCAGACACTGGGCACATAACCAGTGTAACAATCTATTCTGTTATCTGTTATTTTAATTTGATTTTAACCAATTATGCAGCATGACAAAAATACATGTTCAGAATACTTAAATGCGTGATTATTTATCAAATAGTCTTAATAATGGTCAGATTTGTGTGAAGATTTGATGATATTAAGCACTGATTCCTGGGGTGGAAGAGCAGTGCTCCTGCCTGTGTAAAACTTTTCTCACAGGAACTTGTAAAAAGCTGTATTTCATGAGTGACTTCACCTGTTGTTCCCCTAAGTGGCCCCAATCCTTCGCCTGAGTCCATAATTTCCATCAAGCCTCGTGCTCAACATGACCCCACACACTTTACTTTCCCCTCGTCTTATTGCCCCTTTCTTTTTTCAATTTTTTTCTGCTCTTAAACACAAGATGGCTGTGTGTAGGTGTGCATGCATGTGTTTGTCTGCGTGTGATAAAAATACACAATTTCATTCCCCGTTACGACACAAATGATTCTCTCAATAATGGATGTGTTTTGATGGAGGGCATATGCCAGAGTCGGAAGTAAAGCTTCAAGATCTCTCTCTCTCTCTCTCTCTCTCTCTCTCTCTCTCTCTCTCTCTCTCTCTCTCTCTCTCGCTCTTTCTCTCTCAAACACGCGCACACACACTTACAAACACACACACACATCTGGTCTGTGAGTCAGAGACAGGTTGGAGACAGACTGCATGGATGGACAACATCAAAAATATTTCTAATCCAGTTTGGAGTTTTATGTTTCATGGTTTCAGTTGAATAATCTCATTGATTAAAACCAGGCTGTAGTTCATAAGACAAGATACATTTTTTGGTTTGTTTGTTGTTATTTTTTAGTTATTTTGAAAAAAAATAAAGATAAACCAGAAAATATTATGACAAACTTTAGCTCGGGATCTCAAATTGCTGACCTGGGGGGGGCGCAACATAATATCAAAAATATAATATAATCTGCTCTACAAGATTATTAATAAATTTCATATCAATTTAAACTACCCCTTCATATGTAATTTAAATAAAAACACAATTCTATTTATTTTGTTTGGTGCAAAATAATGACAAAGGTCAAAGGTGCCTGCAAATGTGTGCTAATGGCTGGGCTGACTTCTCAGACTGTTTGGGTGAATTTTGGTTGCAGGTGACTGCACATGTTGGAGTCTCAGCCATATTGTGTGCTGTGTTATGCCAGGTGAAATACTGATTACAATTCACCGGTAAAAGCCAGAATGCCCCCGATAACTGGACTGGTCTGGCTTCTGCTCTCATTTCACTTTTCTCAACTGGAGGATCTTTACTGGCACAGTGTGATCTCTCTTACACTGGTTAACCATCATTGCAACACCTTCACAGATACTTCACAGTCACACAAGCATGTAAACAAGCAAACAGATGAATGGAGACGGTTAATGGTAATCATGTAGGAACATCATAATTTTGACTTGACTCGAAGTCAGCTGGCTGACTTCTTCAGTATGTGGCAAGTAGCTACACAAGAACACACACACAAATACACATTTTACCCAGCTTCTCCCACCCACCCTCTTCACTCCATCATCCCAGCTGTGAAGTGTCATCAGAGATGACTGACACCCAAACTGAGGCACGTATGAATATGAATGGGACTGTGAATATGAATATGCAAATGAGGAGGGGAGACAGTTTGCCTGCTGTCTTTTCTTTAAGACAGATCTGTCAGAAAATGACGGATGTCATCCTTTAGCTTTCGGATAAGACTGGCCCACTTTCTGACCTGATGGGAGAGGAAAGGTACTGTTTTTGTGTCAGACTAAAGCCAATGCCAGACTGAAACACTGCAGTATGTGTAGAAAAACACAGGTAAAATATGAAACTGTTTTAGTTTTGTTGAGTCCAGTTAATATCAGCTAAAGCATAATGATTAATTCTTTAGATAATTTAAAGGAATTTAAAGTGACAAGAAAACAGCATTTCTGTGATATCTCATCGTGCAGGGAGGGACGATTTAAAAGTAGCTCAGAGGACTCCCTCCAGGATTTCTTGGGCTTTTTTGGGGCATTTTATTGAAATTGTTAGAGAAAGGGAAAATTGTAATAATAGTTAAAAAAATGTTTACATACAATTCAGTGAAAAATAGAAGGCAACTTGAAGGAAGAGAGTGTAGTGAGAGTAAAGGGGTCTGAATACTTTTTCCACCATGGACACATGCACAGAGTTTGTCACACCAACAGGCAAGCACCTTTCTATCATTTTGTGATTGACTTACTTAATTACCACTAGCCATGCATATTTAATCTAACTCAACTTGCAATATATTGGCTGGATTTGTCTTGTCTGTGGTCCACAAAGAAATCAGAGACTTTTGATTACCTCTGCTTTCATGCAGGACATCAGCTGCTATGATTGTTGAAACAGGCGGGAAACTACAGTGATTGGTCAAATATAAGGAAAGGTTGCAGTGATTTTAAAAAATTGCGAGGGCACAGGAATAGATTGAATTTGCATTAAAGGTAGTGCAAAGGATTCAGTGTTATCTAGAGGTGTAGTTGCAGATCGCAACTCATTCGTTTCATGAGAAACTACAGTGTCCACAGAAAACTGCTCTGTGTAGAGCCAGATTTTGGCTAGTCTGTTCTGGGCTACTATAGAAACATGGTGGCCTCAACGGAAGAAAATTAAAATGGATCATTCTACAATGAAGTAAAAAAATATTCATATTATATTTTAACTTAAACTAATTAAAACATGCCTGTCCCCACATTCCACTGGGCAGCGTCTCTCCACTCTATGTGGCTGATGTTATTTTCAATATTTTACCTGTGGTTACTCAAAACAAACCACCATTCAAATTTTGGTAAAAATCTTGGGAGAAATGCTGCATTTGAGAGGAGTAGATGTGTTTCACAAATCACATTTGTTTAAAATATCCAGAGGAAGAAATGTGTAGTTGATAGTGATAGCTACCATTACTGAAAAGACAAAGAAAAAAGGACCACCTACAGAAACTCTGACTTCATCAATGTAAAATTCCCAGCATTAGCCCTTTTGTAATTCTGGTGCCAGGTTTGAACTTGTACACAATGCAGTTAATGTGTGTCTATTGATTTTTTCTTTTACCTGAAACTTTATGTTGCTGTCCTGGCCAGGACTCTCTTGTAAAATGTTTAATCTCAATGGTAATATTCCTTGTAAAATAAAGGTAAAATAAAATGTAAATAAATGTGTGTTTTTCTGCTTCTTTAGTGAGATCAATCATCTGGAGTCAGGTCTGGTGGTGGAGCTGTGGAATAAAGGTTTGATCTGGGACACTATGATTGGCACAGCACTGATACCCCTGGACACCATTCGACAGTCTGACGAGGTAACACACTTTACAAACACACCCCTTCATTTCATCCTCACATACATAAACACAAGGGGCTTAAAGTTAACGTTAAATTGTTATGACTGTAAAATTAAAATGGAAGTAATGTGACGTTTCTGAAGACGTGTTGTGGAGCTCAGAGTGGGGTGACTCTGGCCGTCACCAGCTTGGCAGTCCTGACTGCTGGCTTCTGGCTAATCCAAAAATTGGAAAAGATGTGGAGCGTTGATGGTACTGAGGTGGACTTAATGAAGCTTGGTTACTCAAAACAGCTGCCTGACATGGCACCTACCTGTCACTCAAAGTGCCATCCTGTTAATTATGCGTAAAAGTAAGCCTTAAGTTAAAAATTGAACGGGGAATTTAGCTGTAACTATAGGACTATCAGCAGAGTCAGAGAGAATAGTAAGGCAGGGAAGTGCGTACTACAAACAAACCACTCACTTGATCTTGTTAACTCTATGGAACAAGGGATGTCTGGATAGCTCACCTGCTATTGCTGGCACCCCATGTATCAAGGAGTTATTTCTGCAGAGGCGCAGGGTTCAAATCCAACCTGTGGCCCTTCTCTTTTCACCCCCCTTTACTGTCACTATCTCTCTCCATCAAAGGCAATAAAAAGCACCCCCAAACTGAACCACTGCTGAACCCTAATGGCTTCAGACAATTTTGGAATATGTTATATAAACATATAATAACAGTTTAAATGTACAATAGGGGCTCCTAACTATTGTTTTATGAAAGACTTGAAAAACTTATCCTTTTCATGGTATATAAAGTGGCTTTACAATTTCACATTCATGAACTATTTCAATAAGTATCTAGAATCTTCTCCAGCACCTGCTTGACAATGAGGTTAAGAAATACGGTAGTTTTATCACTTTGATCAAACAACCAGACGCATAGTGTCATCTGTTATTCTGGATAGAGCTGCATTCATGGCCACTGGAAGAAGTAACGCCATAACTTCTCAGAAGTATTCTTGCATTCTTCCAAACTTAAACTTTTTTAAATGACGTGCTTGTGGCGGTTAGAACAGGAGTTTTTTTTATCATTATTTTTTTGGTCTTTTATTGCCTTTTAACTGATAGGGATAGTTGAAGATAGACAGGAAAGGGGGGTAGAGAGAGGGGATGACATATAGCAAAGGGCCACAGGTCGGATTCGAACCCTTGCCGCTGCAGCAAGGACTCAGTACATGGACGCCAGCTCTACCAGGTGAGCATACCGGGCGCCCAACAGGAGTTTTTAAAAGTGGAGATCTCAGGGTTTTTCAGGAGGCACAGCAAACACTTGATTATGTAACTGTTGTTTTTTTAGATTTTGGTATTTAAAAAATGGCCAGATGTGGCCAGGGATTGTCGCTGGAAGTTGCCTATGGTTCTGGGTTTTGCTCCGTCATCATCTCCATCATGGGCAAAAGACAGGTGCTGCTTATTTTTCTTCCAGGCAGTGAAAAGTAGATGGCTCAAAAATATACTCAAGTAAAGAGTAGAAGTACAGTTTTATTAAAAAGGAAGATGAGGAGTACCTTTTTACTCAGGTGCATTACTTGCAGTGTGTACCCACCCCTAGTCATAGCATTGCCTATAATGAAACAAAATTAGTAATTTTATACAAACTTGCTGCTTACCTTAATCCTGCAGTACAAAATTTTATATAAACAGACAGTCTTTCTTCCACCTACCAGTGCTTATTTATTAAAACACCATCTTTTTAAGTTAAGTCTTAAAAAACAACTCTCACAGGTGTCCAGTTAGAAGCAGTTGCCAACTCATTTTAGTGCGCTGTGGGCAGGCTTTTCTCTTGCCTCTACACCTCAGTACTGTTTTTTGCAAGCTTCTTGTGTTGTCATTAATAATGCAGCCCCCACTGTTTGACTTCTTCCCTCAGTTTGAAGCACAGCAAACACTCACCCTCGTTCTGTCTATCTGAACTGCCAGTGTTGCTCCTCGCTTCTTCATCATTTCATCCCTGCTCAGCCCGCAGCCCACCCACGCCTTCAGTTACCATGTTGACATTGTGATTCTCAATGAGCAAATGTTTCTATTATCTGTATTCTTTGTCTTCTTTTCTTCTCTCTTGACCTCTTTCTTTTTCTTTCTCTCCCTCTCTTCACTTTGTTTCTCTGTGTTTGTCTTTTTCAGGAGGGACCAGGAAAGTGGACGTCCCTCGACTCTGAGGTGTTAATGAGGGAGGATGAGATCTGTGGTACCACCAACCCAACTCCACATCAAGTGCTGCTGGATACCCGCTTTGAGCTGCCCTTTGGTATACAGAAAACACACCTTTGCTGAAACAAAATCACACACAAATGCATAGCCACAGAGCCAGGAGTTGAGGAAAAACCCGGTAGTAAAACATCCTTGTTATATTTTTTCACCAAACCCAGTTTACTTCTGCTAACCACAGACTTGTGTTTAGTTTTTCCCAATGGGCTTACTGGTAGAACCCTCATATTATGTGAGAGCTTGTGGAAGTAACTCTAGGGTTTATGAAGATTTTATGAAGAGTTTCTTCATGATGACGTTTTTGTGGCCTTAAGTAGTCCTCTGTATTATATATTTTTAATTCTTGTACTTTTTATTTCTCGAGTGTAACCACACAAATAGCAACATTTCTTAAGATCATTTTGTTTCCTCAGCAAGCTCTTAATCTCAGGGAGCTGTCTGAAGTGTCTGCTCTTAAGCTGCCTTTCCTTTTGCACTGCCTGACACTCTATTTATCAACACTCACCTGATGTCAAGATGGCACTGGTTCATGCTGCTGTCCGCTCGTCTTGACACAAAACCCAGGGTCTGAAGATGAAGATAAGATAGCAGTTTCCCTGTTTTAGCTTTACCTTTGACAAATCTTTTTTTTGTTTGTTTTTTGTTTTTAGTAAAGTAATTGACATCCAGTTTACAACATAGGTACTAATCAATAATGAGTTGCCTTTTTTTGATCATTACCTATCACAATGAGTTACACTGAAACACACAAACACATTTACAAATACCTATTTATAGTATAACCCAAGGTTCAGTGTGGCTTACACTTGCAGAGGATATACTGTAATCTTATAACTCCTGAGAATTATCAAGTTTTTTCAGTATCAGTAAAGTAATCCAGTGAGTGGGTACATTGCAAACAGGACCTGCTAATAGCTAATTCATGGATTTTAAGTTATTCATATTAAACTAGTATTGTTTTCCTAATAAAAAAGTAAATATACAAGATATGTCAAAAGTATGCATTTGCAGCTACCCAGTACAGTGCAGCACTGACATGGCAAACTGTGATTATCCATTGTTAACGATAGATAGATCATTTTAAATACATTGGACACAGTTTATTTTAATGTGCTTAGACACCTGCTCTTGTGCTCTTAAACATTTTTTAAAAATATACATTTTGAGATGTTTACACAGTACTTCGAGCATTTTAATGACTGACTAACTAATGTTTTACTTGGGAACATGGGGAAACTGTAGCCTGGCTTTTACATATTCCTCTTTTCTCATCTTTTTTCTCTTATTCTACACAAACTTCTTTTCTTTCTGGCTTTGGGAGGACCTGTGAGGCCAGTGAGGTGGTTGTTAATTCTATTTCTGGGCCCCCAAAAGGAAACCTCCTCATCAGCTATTAAACACACATGAATATAAGATGGGAACACATCAAGCAACGTGGGTGGGGTAAGACAGGATGGGACAGGGAGCATGGAAGAGAGGTGAATGAAGGAAGGGTGGAGCTACTGTGCCTGTGGTCTTTCATCTCTTCTTGCACTTTGTCTTACATTCTGTGCTTTGCACTCTTCTTCTTCCTCCATTACGTACTTTCTGTCTTCATAACCCCTTCCTTAATCCTACCACCCATCCCTCCATCCCATGTATCTATATTTCCTCCACTTTCTCTCTTTCACAACTCACTCTTGGACTCTCCTCCACACATTTTTTTGTCACTCTTTTCATTTTTCTCACTTTCAATCTCTCTATTTCTTCTGTCCAATCCATCTGTCCAGATATCCCAGAAGACGAAGCTCAGTACTGGACCAGTAAACTGTACCGGATCAACACCATGCCAATACATGACGAGGTAAGTTTACTAAAAAAGTACATTACCTCTAATGTAAGTTATAGATTATTAAGCTATTAGAAATTTAAATGTATGTTGTCGTGTCAAAACACACTTCTCTCTAACAACCCCACAGATAACCTAGATAGATGAATGTAGATGAATGGCAGATTTATGGTGGCTGTATTATATGATGATATTCAGACAGTTGCCTCCTCCTCACTGTAATCAGATTTAAATTGGGAGGCTGCAGTTACATTGGTACGCTTATTATCAATATGCATTACACATGGGCTGTTCACGGTTCTGCATAGGTTACATGTAAGCTACTGATACTGATACTCCTTAATTAAAAGAAAGTTATGCCACCATCTCACAGGCGCTGGGTGGAGGATGTCCTATCTTAAACCCAAAGCTCCACCCTGAAGTATTATAAGGTCTGGCAACCATGTCTGTCCTATGTTGAGATTGATTTCCCTTCCATTAATTCAATGTAGCTAATGTTTTAATGTTTCTATGTTTATCTGTATTTAGTACTTTTGTGACTGTACAACATATGTGAAAATTAATAAAAATACATGAATAATTGAGCTATTAGAGACATTACATCACAGTTCATTCAGGAATGTCAAATGAGAAAGCAGTGGGCAATCACAACTAGGACAGACTTTTTTTTCTTCCTCACCTTGAAAGTAGGTAGTAGTATGTGAGGAAGAGTGTTAATATGAACCAATTAGTGCAGCAGTGCTTTAAAAAAGTGCTTATATATAATTACCATATATAATATATATTATAATATATGCCACAATGTCCAGTTTGTTTTGGCTCTCTGCTGCCATCTAATGAAAAATACTAGTTATTGCATCACATATGATCTATGAATACTGTACTCATATGTGCCTTTTTATTATTAAATCATTGTTCTCTGCAGATCCCCTCACATTTATTATTTCTCCTCCCCTTTTTTGTTTGTATTTTTCTGTTGTGGCAGTATCCACTGCAGGAAGAGGTCCAGAGAAGACGAATGGCATCTGTGCCCTCTCAGTGCTGTGAGTATAAAAGTAAAAATTTGTTACAACCCATTTATGCCATAGCACTTTCACATGTACGTTTATGTGTGTTTGTGTTTTGTGGTTACTTTGTTCACTAATGTGTTAACTCACTAATTCTACACTGATGACTTAAATTTGGACAATAAAAATTTGTTTTTCCAATTTGGAGTACCCACTGATTTTGCATACCAAAGGGGATTTTGGGCACCAGCCACTGTTAATGGTAGTTATGGAGAGCTTTGTATCCTGCCTGTTGAGTGCTGATGTTACCTCAGTGAAAACACTTTTTCCCACACTGTTTTGTTGTGTCAGTGTTGATCACTCATACTGTGCTATGTGAATTTCTAAGTCATTTAGTTCTTATTTATGTCCTACTGGTATTACAATTCACTATTTCCAATAAATCATATTTGGAAGTCTTCAGTCACATTACATGTTACAAATCACATTACAGTTACTGGTTTGATTCTTCAGTAATGAAGTTCATTTTTTTTCCTGACTTCTTTGAATACTTGCCTCCATGCCACCAGGCAGTTGGAGTTATTTCGGATGGAATGACCAGCAGAGTATGTATAGTGGTTATTTTTTCCCCCCATGACCATGTCCTTCACTCCATTTCTGCATGGTACGGGCCTGCTCTTTTCCTTTATTTTTAAGGAAGGACCACTGCATGTTTGGCCTGTATCCTTTGTTTGTCTTCATTGTATCTGGAATATCACATTCTTGTATCCTCCTGACTATGTGTGGGTGCCAGTTTTGTTGACCTATTTTATGTGGCGAGTGGAGTGATTTGGAGTTAACATTAATGCAACATTCATTTCTTACAGTGATCAAATTTCTTGTTGTTCAGTGTTATTGTCAGCTTGGTGTTCATGCTTGTTGTATTAGATGCCTGCTACCACAAGAGGGAGCGTTTTATTCAAACAAGTTTTGTTGTTTGGAAGTCTTCCTTACATCATAGCAGTGTCCAAACGGCCTGAATCTAAGATCAAACCTGAGCATGTACCGTGATGTACTGTATTATGTGGTGGTGCAGATGTAACCTTTGTGTGAATCTCCCTATTTTTTAAAAAAATTTTTTTGTCTATTTCATTAGAGCAACATTTTAAAAATTTGCCATGTCCCCAGTACAAAAGGATGGTTTCACAGTAATTATGAGCAGTGACAGTATTTCCCATAGGATTACATTTTAAGTGTGGCAAATTGAAAATATTTAAAATACTATATATTACAAAGACCTACTTATTTATTATATATTATAATAAATTATAATGATTATATATTATATAATCACCTTGCTTTTTCACCTCTCTCTGTTTCATTCTCCCTGTAGGCCAATGTGTCTAAGTTGACTTTCTTCAGCAGTAACTTTAATAAAGTCGCCCAAAAATCACTACTCGAGTTGAGTTTGAGTTTGTTGTTAATGACGCAGCCTGTCAAACAATTGAAAACAACATGGTAACGGATGAGATCGGTAACACCTTATGTGATTACTGCTGTTCACTGTTGCTTCTGTCACATTAAATCACATTAAAAAAAATAATTTCAAAGAGTATTGTTTTATGTTATTTTTTATTTATCTGAGTTCTTACAGTTATTTTTTTCCATATAGAGAATTATGTTTCTTTTATAATTATTTTAGAAAATAATTTTGGTTGTGTTTTACTGAACTGTTGGTGTTGTCTTTGCCTAGCTTTCGATGACCATGACAGTGCAATGGATGACCGTGATAGTGACTACCGCAGTGAGACTGGCAACAGACCTCCACGTTTCCACAACACCTCCCAGACAAATTCATCAGTGCACCAGTACCCTATAGGACGCAGGGTCCAACATCAAACCCTGTCCAGGGAATCGGACTCTATACAAAGCTATGAGCTAGACTATAGAGAAATGAGGGGTCCTAGGTAAACACACATCTACTCACTGACACACATAATCAAAGACACAACTCTCTACCCTTATTGTTGTAGAATAATATATATTCATGCTTTTAAGAGCAGCAGAATCCATTGATTGAGGTTCTGAGTGGCAGATACATAGATAGTTGTGCTTTAGAACATACAACATTATGTAGCATTACTGTATGCATTAATTATTTCTGTTGTTGATATCATATTATGTATCAATTTAACATTGTTAATTTGTTGCTTACACCAATTTACAGATGCAATGGGAAAACAAAATTATTTCTGACAAAGGCAGAGAGAAAACTGTTAAAGCCAACTAGCTAACCTACTGAAATATTGACATACAAACAGCAAACAGCTGCAACTTACTTTCAGCTAAAAATGAGAGAGTTTTTGAGTTTTTCCTGAAGTTACAAAGTTGTGCATAAGCAACAGCACAACTTTGAGACAAAAAGATAGAAACTATTACATTTTGCACACTATCGAATACAAGACTTGATACTTGACAAAACTTCTTGGCTTTTTTTCATTTGCAATTCTATTTCTTTGCTTGCATGACCACTTTCTTTGCATGATCTGCTGTTTTTGAACCAATTCTAATTTCTATTTTTTTCTTATTCTCTGCATCATGCTTCACTGCTTCCTGCGTGGCACCCTTTTTCTTTAATCCAGGCAATCAAACAGTAAGGGTGGAGTAAGAATAATCCCTGTTGACTCAGGTATGGGTGTGGAGGATTGGGAGAATAAATATAAAGTATCTGACTCATGTGTCTTGGATGATTACTTGGACGCTGAGCAGAAAATGTGGGAGGACGAAGATAAAAGCATCATTTACCGGATCAGTGACAACCCTTGTGAGTCCAAAGGCAGCAGGTTCTATCAGACAGTAGAATGTGATGCACTATCCCCTGAGGAGAGGGGGGAGCCGAATGGCAAGCCACACAGACAGAGGCATGGCTTTGGTAGTGGGGAAGTACGTTTAGTTTATAAGGAAGCTGGCAGCTTTGAGGATGAATCGTCCCCTCCTGAAATTGATATAATTCCCTCTGTCAAACAGCAACGACAGCAGACAGACAGAGAAGGTCTACTTTACAAGACCAGGCTGTGGGCCAAAACTGCCTTAGAGGACACTCTTGAGAGCTATGCAGCTTTTCGTGAGGAGGAGGCTGCTCGGGAGGAGGCTGCAAGGATCAGGGGGAGGTGTGAATATGGTTCAATTGGCTCAGATGAGATGCAGTATTCCTTTGGATCTGAAGAGGAGCTCGATGACCTGACATTCATTGAGGGGGATGCTAGTTATGAATATGAAAGTTATTATTACCCTGGCAAGTATATGTCACCTTTTGGAGTACAAGGCTGTACAAGCAAAGGGAGAACAGGTCGAGGACAAGATACTATATTATCTCCTGTAGAGGAGCCAAGTGATGAATATGTAGATGCAATGGATGAACTTCAGAGCTTAGTTCATTCAGTATCTGAATACCTGGCTGTAAAAGAGGAGGAAATCAACAACTATGAATCAATGCCTAAACCAATTAGGAGAAAACTCCCAGCGCTACCAACAGATGCTAAAGTTGTGCAACCTGGGGACAGTAATAGCGATGAAGTCAAACCTGAAGTTAAAGAGGACAGTGCTGTTGAACAGGGCATAGCTGGAGTAAAGAATGCCATGAGCTCATTATTCAGTACAATCACAGGATCAAAGTCTGGCACTGAGGTTGACGCCTCTGGCAGTCCATCACCCCAACCACAACAGGCAGACTCTGGTATTGCAAAACTTCTCTCTTTGATCCCTAAATCGGGCACTGAAGCCACAGAAACCTCTGGTACCACTGTAACAGATCGACCTACCTCCCAAACATCACCTCAACCTGAGTCTGGTATTTCAAAGCTGCTTTCATTTATTCCCAAGAGTGGTGGTACTTCCCCCCCAGTAGCCATAGTTCCTCCTGCCTCTCAGGAGCCCACAACAGAAAAAAAGTTTTCCCTTCAGTCTCTTTTGCCATTTCAATCCTCTGAATCGAGTCGGCAAGCTGACACGGATCAGGCACCAGCACATGTTAGCACAGGGGAGCAAGGCAGTGCAACAACTACCAACCAATCCACATCTGGGTTTGAATCTATGTTAGGAAGGCTTAGTCCTTTGAGACTTTTTTCCAGTGCACCGCCATCTAGAGAGCCATCACCTCAGCCATCAGAGCAAAGAAGTGCATCTTCTGCAACCAATAAATCTCAGCAAGAATATACAAGCAGAGCCACAAGTCCTAATACAGAGTGCTCACAGACAGAGCGACAGTTATCAGGTGAGACGAGATCAGGTTCAGGAAGTGGATCAGTTGATCTTTTGCCAGATACAGGAAGTGGATCAGTTGATCTTTTGCCAGATACAGGAAGTGGGTCAGTAGAGCTACTTCCAGAGACAGAGTCATCTGGTGAGCTACCTGATATTCAGCAAAGAAAAACATCTGCAATAACTGAACCAAAACCTGAAAGCAGTTCAGAGGAAACAGGGTTCTTCAGTCCTTTTAAGAAATCTCTTTCTACTCTCATGTCAACAGTTCCTCCTGAAAATTCTGACACCAAACCTGCAGAGGAGTCATTTTTAGGCAGCAAACTCAAAATTCCATTTTTCTCCTCTGAAAATACTTCTACAACAACCCCACCAAAAACAGAAGGAGGCGTCTTGTCAGGGATTCTTAAGTTTGCATCTGGTGAAGATGCCAGTGCCCCACAAAAAAGTCCATCTCCCAGCCCTGCAAGAAGTCCTTCTCCAAGTCGTGCTGCACTTCTTGAAAGTGTGCCAAAAGGAAACGCAGAAACTGGCTGGTTTTCTAACCTATTTAAGGTTACCCCAAGTGAACCTGCTAAGGATCCTACCAAACCACAAATGACTCCTACTGTGACACTCACCAAACCTAGTGGTCAAATTGAACCACATACTGAACAAATGGTCCCTGAAACCACAGACAGCACTGTCTGCAGAACAGAATTGTCTCAAGAGCAAACATTGTCTGAAAAACTTCCCCAGGACAAGACACATGTCCAGTCTGTATCAGATGTCACATCTAAAGATCAAGGTTCTCCCAAACCTGATGAACAAGCCAAATCACAACCACAAGCCCCACAGACTCAAGGAATTCTTTCTGGATTGTTGAAACTCGGATCAACAGAAGATGTGTCATCTGAAAAGAAATCCCAGGGAGCGGATAGTCAGCCTCAACAAGGTGGGCTGTTTTCAGGCCTATTTTCCACACCTTCCCAGTCTTCTCCCCAAACACAACATAATTCTGCCACACAACAGTCAGGAGGATTATTGTCTGGATTTTTAAAATTTGCCTCTGATAATGTTTCTGCTTCTACAAATCAGTCACTGTCAACATTGCCAGGAAGCCAATCTGGCCAAATTCTAACTCAAAGCCAACCTGCTGCTGCACAGCCACCTACTGGAGGACTCTTATCTGGGCTCTTGAAAAAAGCTACAGACACAGTGACTGGGTCTCAGCCAACTCAGTCCAATCAAGAGTCACAACCAGATGCAGCTGACCATACATCAACAACAGGACCTGCACAAAACTTGAGTCAAGGGACGACTCCACCTACTCCGTCAGTGGGGATTTTGTCAGGTTTGATTAAATTAGGTTCAACAGAAACACCTCCCCCTGACCAACCTGACCAGCCACCTGACCACCAAATAAGACAACCTGTTGCCTCAGACAACCAACAGCAACAGCCTGACCCAACAACAGACAAACTACAACCAAAAGCAACAGCAACCATGCCCCAACCTAGTGGATTACTTGGGGGTTTGTTGAAACTCACAGAAACTGTTTCCCAGCCACCAAAAGGACCTCTAGCTACACAATCTACACAACCAAACCAGCAATCAGGTAACATGTTGTCAGGACTTTTTAACAAGCTTGTGGAACCTAATCCTATTCCATCTCAGCTACCAGCAGAGTCTGGTGCCCAAAAAACTAATCAGAAACCAGTGCAGCAAGCTCCTCCTCAACAAGGAGGTTTCTTCTCTGGACTTTTTGGAACTGGAGGCCAAGACTCTGCTCCTGCAAACCCAGCCCAGCATTCAAGAAACAAGCAACAAAGTGGCCCATCTGGGCATCAACCTAGTCAGCAACCGGGCAATAGACAAAACCTACAACAGCAAAACCCAGTCCCTCCACAACAGCCTCCCAGTAGTCCCGGAGGGGTGCTCACTGGATTATTAAACAAAATTGCAGATGCAGGCACCCCACAATCTACAGTGGGGACTCAGCCAGAACAGCAACAGGCGATAAGAGCAGGTCCTAAGTCAAACAGCAACCAGCAACCACCTAATCAACAGGGAGGCTTCTTCTCTGGGCTATTTTCAGCAGGTCCTACTCCTGTAACACAGCAGCAGCCACCTGTTAGTCATCCAAACCAGCAACAGCCCCAACAGGGTAACAGACAGCCTCTGCGTAGGCAAAACCAGATACCTCCACAACCTACTGCCCCTGCACCTGAGCCACAGCAGGGTGGACTATTGTCAGGGCTTTTTAATAAGTTAGCATCTACAGATAATGCACCACAACAACCCGCACCGCAGACTGGATCTCAACAAGGCAATGAATCAAACATTGTTGGACCAGGTCAACAGTCATCTCAACCCAGTCAGCAAGGAGGATTCTTGTCAGGTCTGTTTGGTCAGACATCACCTCAACACCAGCAACAGCCTGGCAAAAAGGCAAGTCCTCAACATACAGCAACCCAACAGCCTATTGAAAGTGGAGGCTTGCTTTCAGGTATTCTGAAGCTTGCATCTGGTGAAAATGTGCCACAGGAACAACAGTCACCTCAACCTGCTCAGGCAGGTCAGCCTTCTGTTAAACCAGGGCAAAATCCAGCCCAGTCTGAATCAGGGGGATTATTCTCTGGCCTGATGAATAAAATTTCAGGTACTGTGGAACAGTCATCATCACCTTCTGATCAGGTGAACCTTCAAACAACACAGCAACAACATCAGACACGTGCAGGACAGGGGCGACCACAGATTCAAAGAACCAAACCAGTAGACATGCATTCCTCCCAAGACGTTGGAACAGATAAGGATTTAAAAGGTCCAGCTCAAAAAGGTTTCCTCTCAGGTCTTTTTAGTGCCACAGATGAGCCATCACCAAAGACAGAGCAGCCATCAACCCCTCAGCTTGGGAAGGAAGAACCACAAACCAGCACAAATAGCACATCTCCCGGTTTGTTATCCAGCATTTTCAAAACAGGCCCCAGTGAAAATAACACTTCTGCTCCTATGAAGGAAACCGAAAAAGGCCTTCTTGATCGTTTACTACCGAAGAGTAAGGAGGATATCCCTTCTACAGTCACAACTGCTGTTGTTACAGGGACTCCAGTTGTTGATACCCACAGAGAACCTCTGCAATCTCATGTTTTGCAAGATCCCACAATTTCCTCAACCCAGCAATATCTTGAGGAAATTCAGCGTCTTTTGTATGGGACAGCACATGAGTATGGTTACAAGGATCTTCTATACAACTTTACAGAGTATGGTGTTATTCCACCAGAGCTCTATGAGCATCAGTGTCTTATAGAAGCTCTTTTGTGGCAGCAACTAAACGATTATGCCCTTGCTGAAGCCCTTGCCACTCAAATTCAGGAACACTCCAAGGTATGCCAAGGGCATACACCCTCAACGGTTAGAGTACCTCAACCGGAAAATCACGTATGGTTAAATCCTATAGAAATGGACATTAGTAATTTCAATGTACCCTCACATCCTTGGAAGGATGCTGCTGCCCAGCTTTTTGAGAGCAGAAATCGCTTCCTTGAGCCAGATGAAGACCTTGTTTTGTTTGACATGAGTTGCAGAGACAAGAAAACCTGGAGTAGCTGTGACCATTTGAATGATCTTGATAGCAAAAAAAACCCTTGGATTATCGGAGGTAGTGCTCTAAATCTGTCCATGGACAAAACAAAAACACGGTTAAGTAGATGTCAGTCCCTTACAGAATGCAGTGTACAGGAGTTCAGCAAAGTAGTGGAAAAAAGTAGTGTATGTAGTGATGTAAAAGATGAAGACTTTGGTTTGAAATCAGCAACTGAGTTTTTAAAACGACTTGCAACAAAAAAGGGTCCAATGGATTTAACACGTGGTGCTATGGATTTAAGCTGGTCTGCAGGAGCTACAGAGAGTGCGGATGAAATGCTCTTTGAGGATTCTGAGTGGTATCAACAATGGCTTTTACTGTTGGAGCAAGGATTGTGGTGGCCAGCTGAGGTTGGGGACTGTGGATATTATGTTTATACAGATGAGGAATACATTTATTCGCTTTTAACCGACAGAGGTGGTAAACATCTCTATGCCTGTGCTGCACCAGAGGATGTACAGGCTCTAGGAAATATCACTGAAAATATTGCTAATATTCTGAAACATAAAGAAAAGGACAAAGTGACCCTATGTGGTTTTAAAATCCCCCTCTGCACCGAAGATAAAGGTTTCTGGATTCCAGGTCAGCAACACAATAAAGTAATGCTTTCAGATGCACCCATGGACCTAACTTCTGCGCTTAGAAAAGGTGAAAAGATAATGAATATGAATTTGGAAAGCTTCTCTCAGATGTTTCAGGAATCAATATCTTCTCAAGCAGATCAGCCTGTAGACTTTACTGCGTACAAACTTAAAAAGATCAAGGTGGAATCAGTGAAAAATAGCTATAGCTATGAAGAGGAGCCAATGGAGGCAGCTGATCTTACTTTAAAGTCACTTAAAGGAGGACACGGAGGGCCATACTGGAAGAATCAGGGGATAAAAGATGTGCTTACACTCTCACCTGCACCTTCTCAAAGGTTCTATTCACCACAAATCTCTCCAAACAGACATTCTCCAATTCCTGAAATCAGAATTGCACATGTAGGTGATACACCTATAGATCAACCAAAACAAAAATCAAGTTCCATAATTTCAGATATCAGAGGAATCACCAGAAAGTCTTCTAACACTGATGCAAGTAAATCTGATATACAGCCATCATCAACACCTGCTACATCACCAGCAGTGTCCAGCAAAGTTTCAGAGACTTCAAAAATTTCAGGAAACCTTCCTGAGACCCCATCATCTTCAAAAATCCCAGGGTTTGTACAGTTGGGAAGGAAACTGCCTACACCAACATCTGTTACTAAAGCCTCTTCAGCTCAGGCAACTTCTGTTAGCAGTTTACCCACTACGTCTTCTACAGCTGTGGCTGTGCCTTCTGTTTCCCCACAGAGACCCCAGCTTGCAAGGCAGCCATCTCAGGCAGACAAACACAAAGTATTATCACAAGCAAATAAAACTGCTGTCACTGGGATGTGTGACATGAGCAAAGTCAGCTGTACTTCAGGAGTGGACCAAAAGCAGCCACAGGATTCATCTAAAAAATGTTCACCTCAGTTACATATATTGAATGACACGTCACTTACATATAATGAAGCCCACCTTTACAAAAGAAATCATAACTTTGGCACTCCTATTGACCCTCAAATAGGCAACAAAGTCCTAGATTTTTCTGCCACAAATAATAAAAACAACAATATTAAACAAAAAGATGCAACAGATGCCAAAGTTGAATCTACACAAAAATATATAGTTGTTGACTTTACAAAGTACAAGCTGAAACGATTTAAAGAGAAAAAGCAGATAGATACTCAGGCAAATGTTGAATTTATTGACAAGACCACAGTTGCTGTAGATCTTACTAAAGAGAATGATGAAGAAGAAGTTGAATGGCCTAATTCAGAATATCCCACTGTGGACACATTACGGGAAAGTCCCACAGTTTCAATTGTGAGAACAGCTTCTCAGACCAACTATATGCCAGTTCAACACACCAAATCAGAGAGAAAATCATCCAGTCCAGAGATTAGAATTGACCATACTTCTCCTACAATGCATATCCAAAGACCACTAGCCTCCCACAGTACCGCTAGATTTAAGACAAACCAAACTGATGTTACAGCCTCTGGCAAAGGTGCAATAGACATTTCATCCAAACCATCTGTTACATCTTCATCACCAAATAGTTCTGACACTACTGTGATGTTATCAGCATCACAAAGCTCTTCACTTCCTGATATTTCCAGTAAAGCATCTAGTCTTGATGGAGTTCTGAAACAATCTTTAAAAACAGGATCACTGCAGACTGTATGTACCTCACCATTGGTAAGCCCTATTATGAGAAAACAAGTGCACCCTCAGGGACAGCAACAGAATTCTTCATTCAATGTGCAGCCAATGCAGCAAAGGCCACCAATAGTTACAACTGGTTTTAGGCAGCAGATTTCTTGCTATGAGTCTAGTGGAAAGGATCAGCAATACCAGGAGACCACTGCACCAGCAAACTCAATTAAAGCTACATTGGATATGTCTGCCAAGACAACAACCGAGCAGAATCTGAAAACTGTTGTGCCATCAAAGGATCCTATCTGTGAGGCACTGTCATTGACAAAGAAAAAAACCTTAACTTCTGAAGAGGCAGACACAAGTTTTAGTCATCGTGGATCCATTGACTTATCATATAGAGGAGAATCACCAGAGCCTCAGGAACAATCAACAGAATATATTCATTCCCTACCTGTTGAGGAATTTCATTCTCATAGAATTACAGGTAATCTGGTAAAATGCTCTTTTAGAAAAGAGGAGGTTCCATCTGGTTGTAGGAGGCCATTGTTCTCAAGACAGCAGTCTCTTTTAAGTCAGACTTCTGAATCCCTTGAAATTTGTAAATCACCTCAGCAAGTTACAGCACCAGCCAATACAGTTAAGGCCACCCTAGACATGACTTCTAAATCTTCTGTCAAATTTAAGGAGGTGGTTCCAGAAGTAAGAACACATTACACTGTTTCTGAAGCTATACCACTTATGAGAGGAAAGCCAAGTGTCCGTGAACTTGCACGAAAAAATTCTGTTGGAGTACCACTAGTTGTAGATATCCCCTTTGAGGAACCTCTTGATGACATTGAGATCAGCTCCCCTGCAAATACACAGGAGAATCAATGCTCAGATTCTATTCTTTATCAACAATCGCAGCACAGTAAAATTGATGTCGTTTCACAGTCAAATCACTCAACCTTAAAGTCATCAGCAACTGTTCAAACAGTTACAGCACCAGCCAATACAGTTAAGGCCACACTAGACATGACTTCTAAATCTTTTGTCAAATTGAAGGAGGTGGTTCCAGAAGTAAGAACAAATTACTCTCTTTCTGAAGCTATACCACTTATGAGAGGCAAGCCAAGTGTCCGTGAACTTGCACGAAAAAATTCTGTTGGAGTACCACTAGTTGTAGATATCCCCTTTGAAGAACCTATTGATGACATTGAGATCAGCTCCCCTGCAAATACACAGCAGAATCAATGCTCAGATTCTATTCTTTATCAACAATCGCAGCACAGCAAAATTGATGTTGTTTCCCAGTCAAATCACTCAACCTTACAGTCATCAGCAACTGTTCAAACATATCAGATATCCACTTCAACGAAACCTGTCACAGTTGCAGCACTGGATATGTCACCCAAGCCATCCCAAACGACACAGGGAACAGCAATGCCAGAACTTCAGTCTACTGAATGTGAACCAGTTTCGCTGGTTAATAAGCCAAATGCAAGAGCAGTTGCCAGAAAAGATTCTGTTGGTATTCCCCTGGTTGTTGAACCAAAACCACTGGAATCAACATGCCAGAAGCAACATCAAACCTTGATCCCTGTGCACAAACAGCAATCCCTGGATAGAAACATTGTCCCTGTTCTGCATCAACCACTTACCAGCTGTATAACAGTGCAGTGCTCCAGTATAAGTGAGACCAGTGGTGTGTCACAATCCATTATCCAACCTTATTCACTCTCCACATCTCCAGCAAACTCTGTTAAAGACACATTAGATATGTCAACAAAGGCATCTAAATCAGACAGCGTGCTAAACTATTCAGATCCACTATCACTGGTAAGGACAAGGCCATCAATCTTTGCATATTCTCAAAGAGATTCTGTTGGTGTTCCACTAATTGTGGAAACACACCCCTCCCAGGAGCAACCTAAAAGTCAACAGACACTGGTAAGAATGCAAGAACAGATGCAACAAGGATTTGTGCACAGTGGATCTCGAGAAATAGATAATAGAACATCAGCACCTGCCAATTGCATCAAAAGCTTCCTAGACATGTCTCCAAAACCACAGCAAAAACAATCTGAAACAGCTGATGATATCTTGCCAACTGGAGCTGTGCCACTGGTCAGAAACACTGCAACTGTTATAGGGAATGGTTCTGTTGGTGTACCACTCATAGTGGAGCAATCTGCGCATCAACAAGGAAGTCAAGCCTTGAGTGGTGTCAAAACAACTGAGACACTGCATAGGCATATATCTACCTACCACAAAAATGAGGTATTTTCTGGTTCAAGGACCACCTACATGGACACACACCAACAAAATATGCCTGTAGACTTCTCCGCCAAAGACTGCCTAAATACAACTAATATTTCAAGTAATCAAATTGAACCAGAGGATGGAAAACCTGTGAATTTCACTAATAGCATAGCAAAGAAAGAAATGTTGGCAAAAAGGCAAACTGGAAGGAAATTAGAAAATAAAGCATTACTGGGTATTGTTGACCTAACTGTGGATCCTCAAAACAAAATGACAATTATTGGTCATCAAGATGCAACTGATCTCTCCTCTGCCTATATGTCTTTTCTGTCTCAGAATAGTCTTTACCATCAGCAGCCATACATACCTTCACCCACTGCAAAGGAGGACAGACAAGATACAGTATTTTCTCAAACTCAGAAGTCACTACAACAAACGCAATATTCCCCTAAACAGGCCACCACCCAACCTGAAATATATTGCAGAATGCAGTCAGGAACAGGATGGAACTCTGCCCCAATGAGTATGCCTTCTTCAGTCCCTATTCAAAGGAAGATACAGCCACCTCAGAATTTAGCTCCCACTTTGCAGGACAGTGCATCTGCTACATTCTCACTAAACAGTACATATCAACAGATCAGTAGTATGCATGGTGAAGCCAAGAAGACTGATCAATTGCCTCCAAATATACATCACCTGCGAACACAACATTCAGTCCCACAACAGCAATACCAGCAACCTGGTGTGGAAATTGCTTGGACATCATCCATTGCTAGATCTCAGACAAAGGCTCCAAAGTTGCAAAGACAGGATACTACTGTTCAGCAAGAAATTACCTTTAGACCAAGAATTCTTATCAAGCAGCCAACTGTGGATAGCTATGGGAGCACTGAGGAAGGTACATTAGATAGTGGAACTATGACAAGTAACGAACAGACATTGCCTCCTTTTTCTCATCAGCAACTGTATGGTAGATCCCAAACTGTTCCTACCCCACAATCATTGCCTGCTTTGAGTATTCAACAAGTAAAAGATAGATACAGAACTGATCCTTCTATACAGTCTTTGGATACACAGCCTGTGCAGAGCAGTGCAAGTGTAGATTATTATACAAAAGAATCTCTGCAAGTCTCAAAACAACCTGATCCAAGTTCATGCCCTATCACTGTTCATCAATATCACACACCAAGTGTACCCTCAAGTACTGTAGCTTCACTTCAGTGTGTACCAGAGGTACTTATATCACAACCCACCAGAAAACATGACCCAATGCCAATGAACCAGGGCTTTGGAGCTGCAATGCAAGGACCAGAGGTATCTTCTACACCAGCAGGATCCACATCTGTTAAGGGTTTGATTTCATTATTTAGTGTACAAAGTACACAGCCAGTTGCTGTTCAGCCCCACCACAGTCAGATTGGGTCAATACCTGTGGACGACAGGACGCATGTTATTCCAGCACAGACTCCTGCTTTCAGCCATGTTGCAGGTACTCCTAATAAGAAAACAACATCGGCATCAAGCGCATCCCTTGTACATTGCGACGTTGAAGAGACAAATGTCTCAGCAACCCCTGTTGTTAAAATACCAGAGACAATTGATTTAAGCCCACAAATGTCTGTTGTATCAAGTTCTCGGCCTTGCAAACCAGCACTTGTTAGTGCCCAAGATGACTCTGCTTTTAAATTACCAAATGAAGATTGTGATGTGTCAAACTGGAATATCCTTAAAACTCCAACAACACAGATACAATCCTTCACTGAATCTAGCCCACTGACAATTGGAGGTAAAGAAGCTGCTTCCTCACCATCTGAATTATCCAAAGATGAAGTTAAGGCTCAGGCACCGTCACTAATTACTGATTCACAATACAAAGGAAAAGGTTCAGTTTTATGTGGTGCCGGCCCTCAAACATCCCCAATGATATCACCTGTCGTCTCTCCCTCCAATGAGTCACAAATGTATGGCCTAAGGGCTTCAAATATTTCTCAAGACTATCAGCAACCACAGGCAACACTAAATGCAAGCCCAACAAGAGCGAACGAAACACCAGGGAAAGAATTGCCCCCTCCTGAATCTTCAGCAGACATATCAAAGGAGGAAATCAGCCAACCAAGGTCAATCTACATTGGCATTAATTGCTCACCAGCTCCTGTTGATACGGAAATTGAAACAGGTGAGCCAAAACCTTATGTTAGACTACCCCATATTTTTGTCTCAGCAGCAAGTTCACCAGAAGAAGAGACCATTGAACACAAGTTCAATGAAAATAGCAAGCCTGAACTGCCAGATGTCAGTGCTTCTGAAGATATCACTCCCATTGCAGTAACACCACCAGAGTGTAAGGATGATTTCCCTTCTGATATTGTTGTACAGTCTGACATATCAGTGTATGGTAGGCCTACAGAAATCAGTAGCAAAGAGGCACTCATTGAATCAGAGCATGCCCAGACCAACTCACCAGAGATGCCACTTACACTGACTGCAGCAGATTGTACACCTGACTTACAGCCTGACCTAACCAAGATAAGCTCAACCATAGAAGCTCCCCTCTCAAAAGCTGAAGGAGAGATCACAGAGGTTCATGAGCCACCACTTGAGCTGTCTTACAAGGACAGAAAATCAACAGCTTCAGACATGATATCACTTGCAGTAGTTAAGCCTCTCAGTGACCTGCCCTGCCAGGCTGAAAACATAGAAATCACTAGCACAGAGACACTCTTTGAATCAGAGCAGGTCAAGACCTACTCACCAGAGATGCCACTTACAATGACTGCAGCCGATCATACATCTGACTCACAGCACACCCTGACCAAGATAAGCTCAACCATAGAAGCTTCCCTCTCAGAAGTTGAAAGAGAGATCACTGAGGCTCAGGAGCCATCATTTGAGCTGTCTTACAAGAACAAAAAATCAACAGCTTCAGACATGACATCACTTGAAGTAGGTAAGCCTCTCAGTGACCTGGCTTGCCAGGCTGAAAACACAACTTTAGTGCCAGCACTACCAGAAGGTGCTGAAACTCTTGAAGAGTTATCCCACAAAGATGTAAGCTCAACTTTAGATGTTGTATTGCCTGAAGAAGTTGAGTCTCCTGATAAATTGTCTCCAAAACAAGTACCCACAACCTTAGATGTAACATCACCCGAGGGAGTCCAACAGGTTCATGGAAAAATGGAAAGGGAGGTCACCTTATCTTCCCCTGTACCTAGTCCTCTAGAACATCCCACGGAGGAAATCACAACCTCCAAAGAGCAAAGCTTAGCTGTCAAGGATGATCAGCCTAAGGCTGAACAGCCTGATGAGCAACAAAAAGGGTTATTTTCTATGTTCAGTGGCTCCACTACAACCCCACAGCAGACGTCCCCCCAAACTGGATTATCAATGCTTGGTGGCATTATTCCTGGTCCATCTCCCAAAGACACTCCTGGCACAGGATTACTCTCAATGTTTGGGGGGTCAAATGCCCTGTCTTCACCTGGAACCAAAGAACCACCACTCTCAACCCCACAAGAGACCCAGGGAAGGGGCTTATTCTCTATGTTTGGTGGATCCAGTAGTCAGCCACCATCTGGCCCAAGAGGTCCAGTTGGTGGAAGTGTGCGACCTAGAGGACCTCCACCCAAAGAATCTCCAGGCAAAGGCCTGTTTTCCATGTTCAGTGCATCTGCGCCTCAGCAACCACCTAGTCCCAGAGGTCATCCTGGAGGTAGTGCCACACCAAGAGGTCCTTCCACTGCATCTTCTATATTTGGTGGAATCCTCCCAGGTTCTACAACACAAAAAGAAACCCCTGGTGCAGGTTTGTTTTCCAAATTTGGAGGTCTTAGTGCCCAACCCCAAACTGGACCAAGAATGCCAACAGTTACAACACCACCCAGAGGCATAGAGCCCTCTGGAAAAGGACTGCTCTCTATGTTTGGTGGACAAAACCAGCAAGCACCAGAAGCACACCCTGCAGCTTCTAAATCACCTGAATCAGAGGGTGTTTTCAAAGTTTCCTCTGTGTTTTCACTTGGCGGAAGTTCTGATGGTAACAAATCTAAAACTGGATTTGGCCTATTTGGGATTTCTGTCATGGAGGAAACCAAGACAGAGCCAGACATAATTGTTGCTGTGAAGGAAGAGATTTCCTCTGAACAAGTGAAACCCCCAGACGCAAAAGATTTTTTAGAAGAAGCAAACGATCACCTTGTTGATGCCACAGAAATAATACCCTCTGGGCCTCTTGCTACATCATCAGTCAAGTTGGAACTCCAAGTAGAGCAGGCATGCCAAGATGGTCAAGATTCAAGCTTGGATATCAATAAAACTACTACTGAAAAGTCTCTTCCCCTAACACATCGACATCAGGAGGTGGACAATATAGTCACAATGCAACATCTTTCTGATAATGAAAATGCCTCAGTTGTGGATGAAACTTCTACGACAGATGTGCTAGAGAAAGAGACACTACCAGACCAACAAACTGCGAAAAGTGAGGAACAGTCAGACATCCAAAAAGAATATAAAGAAGTGAAACATGCTGAGCAAAAAGTTGCTGAATCAGACACAGACACTTTTGAAATTAAGAGCACAGACAAAGAAGTGGACATAGCTGCCATGAATAGCCCATTCGAAAAAAATTACGATATGCAGATGTCAGAAAGTGTTATGGATTATATTGACAAAAACAAAAGATCTGATACGATTGAAGGGGAACATGTGGAAGTTGTTGAAGGAGAGATAACTATTCCAGAGGTAGAAAAACAAACAGAAGAGCCTCTGAATGTTGCTGGTGAAGATCAAATTGTAGTTGAACTTGTGAAAAAATCCACTGAGGACCCTTGCAAAGTTACTAGTGAAGAACAAAAAGCAGACACAGATGTGGAAGAATTAACTAAGGAACTTTTGAAAGTTGCTGATGAAGAACACACAGCTGTTGCAGATGTGGAAAAGTCTGAAGAGGCAACTGTTGCAGATTCAGCTATCACAGTTGCAGAGAAATCTTTTGAAGAATCTGAGGTGGGTGCAATTACAGCAGAAGCTGCAGTTTCAGAATCAGAAAAATCTATTGAAGAAAAACTGAAAGCCACATCTGATGAGACTGCAGAGGAACTAGTTGATTCAAAATTAGACTCTGGTGAGATTGGTGAGGCCAGTAAAGAACCTGTACAAGGATTAGAGAAACCTTTTGAGAGTAATAATTCTGTTACAATGGAGTTGTCATCAGATGAACAAAAAAACGTTGGTACCAACTCACCAGAAAACATGACATCTCAAGCTGTGGGGCCTATGAAAGTTCCATCTTTAGGACCTGCTAGTCCTTCACCACAGCAACCACCTCCACCAGGACTGGCCCGGCCACCTGGTCCACCAGGACAAAGAATGGGACCACCAAGGATGGGAGGGCCACATATGGGGGGCCCAAGAATGGCAGGCCCAAGAATGGCAGGCCCAAGAATGGCAGGACCAAGGCAGCCAGGACCACAGAAGCCCCCTGAACCAGCTCCATTTTCTGGCTTTATGTCTATGTTTTCTACCCCAAATGCCCCAAGTAAATCACCTACTGTTGGTGGATTTTTTTCAAGTTCACCTGGGTCATTTTTTGGATCATCACCTGCTCCTCGTCAGCCACAGCAACAGCAACAACAACAACAACAACAACAACAACAACAACAACAACAACGAAAAGCTCCTTTTTTGGACTTCCAAGCAGCATTGCTACAGAATCCCTTACCAGTGACCTATTTGGTATGTTCAAAGGGCCTGAAACAACTAAATCTGAGGAGCATCAACAGTCTGGCACAGAGTCTGGAAAAGGTGATCCTTCTGCAAAGGTAACTGTCTCTGAAAGTACTGACAAAACAGGTACAGAAAATACACCTTTATCTGATGATGGACATGTTAAAAGCCCAGAGGACTCTGAGGTTCCTGAAAAAGGATTAGTGGAGGAAGCTGAACGAGCTGACAAAACAGAAACAGAAGAAAGTTTTCTCACCGAATCCACCATCAAACCTGCTTTCCCTGAGACAGAAGTAGGGGATGTTGAGCATGCTGAGAATTTAGAAGGACCAGGTTCTGCAGTCTCTGACAAAGCTTCACCGCCCCCAGCTCCAGAAACCAAGGGCATATTTGAAATACCAGGTCTGAATGCATCTAAATTGGGCTTTATGTCTGTAGCTTCTGAAGGCACATCATCTATTGGCTCCCTTTTCTCCTCCACCACTTCATCTCCAGCCACTGTTCCAAAGACAACGCAGCCACAAAAGACAGATGGTGGTCTCTTTTCTGGTTTTAAAAACCTTTCAGCTGGTATTTTCCAGGATGAAAAGCCATCTGGAAAGGAAGAACCATCATCTGCTTCATCTTTGTTTGGCATGAAACTTGGCTCAATGTTTGGGAACTCTGACCCTCCCAAAGCTGAATCCACCCCTCTGGTGGTCACAGACCAACCTCAGTCCCACAGTCCAAAACCTACAGATGAATTCTGTGAGCCAGAGTCTGAGAAACCTTCCCCAGGTTCTGGAGAAACTGAAAGTGCAGATGCCAGTGATACAGATGGACCAACAGAAACTTCCAAAACAGGGAGCTGTGACACTTTAGCACCACAGTCTGGCCTCCCCTCTCACTCAGTTTCCCTAGCAGAAGGTTTGGACAAACCCCAGTTAAAGATCACTTCTTGTGAGGTAGATGGGAGTGTAGTTGACACACCTGAAACTGTGCATGTCGATTTGGACGCAGAGCAACCAAAGGACTTGTTGACAAAGGAACCTGCAAAAAGGCTAGTACAATTTGTATGATAAATGGTATGGTTCATTTATCATGCTAATGTAGATAAATACCACAACCGCTATTTCTTGTTTTATCCCTTTCCCCCTTTCCTATCCTATAACTTAATTTTAACATCCCAAAGTTATTTTTAGATTTAGTTCAACCAAACAGATACTGCATATCAACCTCACAACCATAAATACAACCCATTTAGTGAAAATTTGATATTGTAAGCTTTATCATCATAGACACAAGAAAGGAAATTTTGTGCAAATGCACTGAAGCTATTTTGTACAGTACCTCAGTAATAGCTTTCCTGACAATGATGGAAGTGCAGTGAATTAAGAAACTGATGGTCTTTATTTATTAGCTCTTAACTTGTGAGGCAAATATAAAGCCCCTCCTTTCTCTGTCCCCTACACTTCTCTGAATTATTCTCCAGGCCTCAGCCAATATGTTTATATGAATCAAATTCTGATAGATTTATGATGGTGTGGCAGTGCAAACCATGGAGGCAGGCTTGACACTGGATTTAACAGTGAGAAGTAATTTGGCCTACATCCAAGACAGAGTGAATTAAGTAAATTAAAGCACAGAGCCACTTTTCTTGTTAGCAGTCTCAATCATCCAGCAGACAGTATTCTCCTATTCGGTCAGCCACATATTTTTTTTAGCAGGCAGGTTAAGTGTATCCCCATTGCTCTAACATAGTTGTTAACCTTTTAGTTTCAATCTTATTAAAAGGTTAAATAATTATGAATAATGTGCATTTAGCGTTGTATGGTGCATACATTAGTAGATCCTTTAAATGTTCTGTAGCATAAGTAGGTGATTTTAAAAGGTTAATTCTTTCATCTGCAGTCTCACACAGGCTTTTAGACAGAACCGTTAAGGCTATGAAAAACTGTAATAGCTGATCTCATTATTAACATGCCATTACCACCTTAAACTCACAGTATTACCACCCTTCTTTGAGAAAGGTGAGGACCTCCCAGTGCTGATGGCAGTCCTCTTTTGACATGGCCTGCATTCAGCCTCATGCACGCAGCTTATCCTATTGAGCCTTGTTAGTTTTCCTTGTTTTGTATTACCTTCTTCCCTGGATCTGAAGATGATTTACCTCTTTTACCCTGACTTATACCCCAAGTCCTTGTTTTAATGAATTAATTGAATTGTTTCATTCCAAAATCAATGTCAAAGTTTAAACTCCTTTTTTGAATCAGCATGAAAAATAATGCATTTTCTTTTAAAATAATGTTAATTATTATCTTTGTTTTGGAAAAAACACGTGATTTTGTAGTTTCCTAAATACTGAATTTTGGAATAAAACTTTTCAATTCTACCTTCTTTTACCTACATGTTTCTTTCTCAGATCCCCACCATATTCTAAATAACAATTTCATTCTCCTACAGTCCACCGGACAGCAGTCGCTTTGATTCATCAGGCAACCTCAGCCCAGCCAGCTCCCAGCTCAGCTCTGAACCCGAGGAGCGCCGAGATCCCAGCGGCCCTCGTCCACCTCTCAATAGCCAGCCATCTACCTGGGATGAAGAAGAAGAAGAGGAGGAAGAGGCTGAGAAAGAGCTGCATCCACTACCAGAGCCTGGCTCCAACAAAGATTTGAAGGATTCTTCAATCATCCTGCCCAAACCAATCTTGGACAACCATGATGAAAAAAGTCAGAATAAAATCTGGTATGTAAAAATGTATTTTCATAATTCTAAGTCTAAGTCTAAAAACATATTTTACTCATGGAGGTGTTTAGGCTTGGTTTTGTATTCTAATGAACACAATCTTAAGATTTAGCTGATGGGATTACATTCTTGTTGGTGCATTAACAACTCCTACTTGATGTATGCGCACCATGTAGAAAGAGACAACTGAGAACTCTATGTGCATCATTTGGGAGAAAAAGAGGAATTAGGTAGCACTGACAAGAACCGTAGCTTCGGAGAACTGGCCAACTATCCTAATTTGGATCCTTTTGCGATATCCTTAAAGGTCCAGTGTGTAGGATTTAGTGGTACAGTGCAGATTGCAACTAACTGAACACCGCTCACACAGTCTTAAAACAATAGAGATGTGCTCAAAAGGTTTTGCTTGCTTACTGGCCATTAAAGGATCCCATCATAATGAGTTTCCAATGTAAAGTTAATATGATGTTTCAGTAATAGTTGAAACCCCATATTATATTACCTCATCTCATTATAGTTTAATGCAACTGTTAGAGTCCAATTTTGCACAGAACTGAGAGGATGGATTTTGTTTCCTATCACTTCAATCGAAAACATGTTATGAAATGAATTTCTCTTCATTAAAGTGTTTTAAGAAAGGCTTGAAAAATGTGAACCTACCCTTGGTCTGCAAGATTCAGGGGATTTATTTTATTTAATATCGATCATGTCATCCCTTTGAATTTGAGCTTTTTGCTTTATATTTCTCAGTTTCTTCGAAGATGGTCCTCCACCCTGCTCTCCATCCAAAGTTCGCTGGCTGAAAGCATACAACAAAGTCAGAGTACAGCTCCTTGAGGTAGAAAGGCTCACTTTGTCTGCCCACCCCAACTTTTCTCTCTTTGTCTGTTTCTCTTTTTTACACAGTCATATACACACACACATATATGTATTACTTATATACCTATGACCTACCTATATATACATATAGTTTGTATACTACACTGTGTCCATCATGGAAGTCCAGTCCTTGAGCACACAAGGAAGTCAAACAAATCAGTAAAATCCCATACATTGATTCAGATATACAGTCACATGAAGATTGCTGTTTCTCTCTCTTTCCTCTCTCTCTGAAGTGATACTTTCTCTACCTCAATTTTCCCCAATGGGTTGGTTGAGTTTCCAGTCATGCCACAGCAATTAGCACCAATTTTGTGCTCCTTAAGTTTCTGCTTTGATCTGGAAAACCTCTTTTCAGCATGGATTTCTTCCGATACGGCTATCACTCTGCTGTTGCAGAAAGTTTTTAGTTCCAAGATATGGTACTGTGAGTTAAAACGATTCAGTTTATAGTATCAACCAACTTGAGGTGGTTTACAGTTGACTGTGGTGCTAGGGTCTGAGACATAAAGGGAAACCAGGATAGAAAACCTTGCATACACACTTCTGGCTACACTCACAAACTTGCCTTTTGGCACTTGTGAGGACATTGCATTTATTTATATCAGTTCCTTGGAGCTTATTTTAACCCAACCATACATGCATAGCTTGCAACCCTACCTCAATTTTAATTTAGCTGTAATCCTAAATTAAACCCTAAAACCAAGTCTTAACCTTAAAATAAATTGTTTGTTGTGATTAGCATGTTGTCCCTAGATTGGAGATGAGTCATCACAATGTAATTAGTACACACTCACACACACCACTACAAGCCAGGCAGTGATCACATACTGTTTAAGCACCAAGAGTTACCCCTGATTTCTCCTCTTAGTGTGACTGGTCCAATCTATTTATCTCTAATTACCTTTGAGTCCAAACCTGTGTCTCCTTGGACTCACACTTGAAAATACACTCTCAAGCCCATTTTTATTTAAAATTAGAATATGTTGAGATCGGCTTTTAAACATCTTATTAGTTAGTCTTATTTGTCAGGGAGAAGACGGGCACTGACAGTTAAATCGCAAGAGTGACTGGCAGTAGTGAGACTGTCGATTTGGAAACATGGACTGATAAATATCCAAGCTGAATTCAGGCAGAGTGTCAATGAATAGAGAAAGTGGGTTCAATTGGGTGTGAAAAATGAGGATGAAGCTCATACCTGTTTGACTAGGTTAGAAGTACTGGTACCCTAACTACTGCAGCTATTACACTTATAATAGAGGTGTATTTAGAAAGTTGTTAGTTAAGGCTCTTTTTTGTGACAGAAAATCTACAACAACAAGGGCAGTTTGACTGTAAAATATACGAGAAGGAATGGAAAGTCATGCAAATAGCAGCTGAAATTGATTTATTATTGCCGACTAACCACAACGGCATTGATTTAAAGTCTAGAAAAAAGCTTGCAACAAATATTAGCCAGAGGGAGAGAGACTGGAACTTTGGCCTATGCCTGGTTTCTGCCATCTTAAGGCAAAGATGATCTAGACTTACAATGGGAAGGTATCACCCTGCTTATCATTTATTTATCTGGTAGACC